TTAGAGTTTAACATACTGTGAAAAGAAATGTAGTTATCTATTCAAGAAAAATGTTAGCACAATTTAAATATATTTTCAAAATAATAATCGTGTTTTATTTCCTTATAATTTTACTTAATATTACTTTGCATTCATCCACTGTGAACGGATGGAAAGTGATGTCTGTACAGAGAAAACAACACTATGTGCAGCAAAAAACAGAGGGTCGCTGGGGAGAAATTTTCGCGGACAGGAGAGGACGGCGAAAAGATTAAGACAAAGGTATTATCCAAAATGAAAAACTTAGTTTTGAAAACTACGAAATTAAATTTTATTTCACAATTATTGAAGCATCAAAATTGTACTACATGAAAGATGGTGTTTGAAAAGGAAACATTCACAAATGTAATCAACACAGCAGTTACTGTTTCCAGAACTCATGCATTCATTTTCTGACAGCTAGTCTGTTCACTTACTTCAGATATCAAATACTCATGATGGTAAAATTCTGTTAACTGGAATAATTGCATGCATTCTTATGTGTGCTTTATATTTATTTTGGGTTTAATAAAATAGATATTCTTTTCACGAAACTATATATATTGTTACGATTACCATTCTAATCTTTAGCTAGATTTCGTACCAATATTTAGGTTTGGCGGAAAGCAGCACTCTGTTAACTGAAAAATATTTCATTAATCTCTAAATTATCATAAAAATAAATGTCCTAAAGACACTTATTTGCAAAAAGTTCCGTACTTATGTTGCACAGAAAATTACAAAAAACAACTCACAGTGAAATTCCAAAAATAAAGCCTGTATTTCAAGTATATGCTCTTAAAAATTATATTTCTCAAAACAGACACCGTATTTATTGATCATTACATATAAGTACTACAATTATTACATATACAGTACAAAGTCCGTAATCCGGACGTCCATTATCCGCTTTTTCCGGCTTATAGATCATCAGTTTAAATCTGGCAAGATGGCATGCAGAAATTATAAAATTAAAATATGAAACCGTAATTTATGAAATAAAGAACAATTATGATCTAAAGGGTATCAAAATTTACAAAAAAAAGCTTAATATTTATTTGTTTACTTTATTAAACATTTCTTTCAATGTAAGTTGTTTCGTTTTATGCGATAATACTTTCTCTTTAATTCTATAAACAGACATAATTTCTTCTTCAGTTACAAAGTTCCGCTGTTAAAGTCCTATAATAGCTGTGTCGAGAATACCAACTAATTTGTCAATCGAAATTTTTTCGTTTTCATTAACCTCTGTATCACTTTCTTCTTTATTGGAAGCGAATTATAATGACGAGGAATTTGATTTAAATCATATCAAAGACGGAGTACATCGAGATGAAATACTACATTTAGTAAGGAATTATAGGCGAAATAAAATAAAAACATCTGCCCTGAAGATAAGGATAGTGCTGACAGATTAACTTCCAATTCATTGCGCGCCGCGGCGTCTCAGCATTTTCTCCCCCGGGCCGCAGAGCAGCGTGAAATTGATAAACAGATTTCAGAATGGTTTGAGAAACGAAGGATATGCCTTTATCCATTTTTGCAGTAATTCCACTTTTTGTTTAATGGACTTCGAAACATACTTTTGCTTTGTAGATCCTTTACATATTAGTAAATATATATCGGAAATTCTATTTGACATAATCGAAAGTTCAAGCTTACTTTTATAAAACTGCTCTAACAGTCTGCAAAAAATAATACGCCAGATCCATTTCGAAGATTCAGGAACAACGCAATCTGCAACATTAACTGAATTAGATAATTTTAGCTTAGCTTATACCGTCCATTATACATTAAACGCGCAAGCGTAAACGTATTACGCGCATGCGCACATGCGTATTCGCAGCCGTAAAAGTGTTATGCGCATGCGTTGCAAGTTTGCAACTTTGAGGTCCGGATTATGGGTGTCCGAATTAACGACTTTTGACTGTATTTATTTTACATTATCACACTGCAATGTTATCATTGCCCTTAACTGTATCCATATTTTAAAAAATGAGAGTCACTGTAATCTATATACTAACATGAGTAATTGCATCATATGGTAATCCACAAAGTTCAGTAATTGGATCAGAGAATGTAATTATACCTATAATTTTGAATCACAATTTTAACCTTATATTACAGCAAAATTATATTATCCATGCACCATGAATCTGATCCAGGTATGCTCTCCTTTTCTGATTATATATTCAACATCTCTATGGATAGGTATAATTTCATTTATTTTTCCTGTTACAATCCGAACTTGTAAGCTATTGCTAGATCTTATATGCTTTACAATACTTGCTCCTGATTGTTTCAGCTGTTAAGTACTGAGAATGAAAACATTGCAAGTCTATATTCTAAATAAAATAACCTGGGAGCTTGACACAATACAATACGCTCAAAGAGGCAAATCTGGCAAATTGGCACATGAATTATTCGTATTTTGTTTCCGTACAATTTGCATTTTGCAATCAACTAACAATGAAAAGCATACCACTTGCTATAGAATTGGATGTTGTTTCAAACAATAACAAAGTGATGATGTATCTATTTTAGAATAACTTCTCCTTAGAGTAAAAGCAAAATAGAAGCAAAGGTTCAGACAATACACATGACATGTTAAAGTATGTGAGGGAAAATTTTGAGCTGATAAAAATTGCTGTAGAAGAATTTACAGAATTTTTTTACTGCTAGTGGATAGTAACAGTTTGAATCTAGAGCAAGTATTCAACATGGATATATTGGGTTGGCAAGAAAGTAATGTCAGTTTGCACAGATAGATGGCATTATGTTCATTTTGTTATTCTTTTGTCAATTTTATATATATATATTTCTTTTGATATCTAGCAGCTGACACTGTTGTTAAAGAAACAACTTCAGAACTGACTTCTGTTGTTACAGAAGCAAATTATGAGTATTTGTGTTTACAACTATTAGTTTACAATCAATTTTAGCATGGGTTGCAAAAATAAACATTTTCGACAGATTTTAATTTTTTTATTTTCATAAAGGCAAGAAAGCAGTTGAGGCTTACAAAGAGATATGTGAAGCTTATAGTGTTGATTGCTTAAATGCATGTGTCAGAATTGCTTTAGAAAATTTCATTCTGGAGATTTTTCACACGAAGATGACTAACGTTCTTGCCGACTTTCTGAAGTTGATGATGACAAAATTAAAACCATAATTTTATCAAATTGTCATATAACTGCGGGAGAGATCTGCAAAATGGTTAAACTGACTATTGAATATCACATAAAACAATAACCGAAAATCATATAAGATATCTTAGACTCATTAAGAAGCTAGGTATTTGGGTTCTGCATGAACTGAAAGAAATTCATTTAACATAACTAATCAATATTTACACTAACCTAATGTAATCGACCCTTTTTTAAATGAATTTGTACTGGTGATAAAATACGAATTGTCTACAATAAAACTAACTATGGTCAAGCATGAAGAATCAGCACAAATCATATCAAATGCTAAAATGCATCAAAAAAAGATCACACTGTCAATTTGGTAGGATTACAAAGGTGTTGCGTGTTTTCAGCTGCTTCCACACAACCAAACAATCACCTCAGAAGTTTACTGCAAATAACTTATGAAACTGGACAAAGCAATCAAAGCGAAAAGGCCAAAATTGCCAAATTGCAAAAGAATCTTGTTCTATCACGAGAATGCGAGGCCTCATACATCTGTAGCAACAAGTGAAAATTTATTGGAGCTTGGCTGAGAAGTAATGTTGTATAACCTATATATGTCCGAACTTGCACTGCCAGATTATCAATTATATCTGAACTTGCAGGCAAGACAGCTGGGACTGCTCATGAATAACTATAAGATTTTGCTATTAATGAACAATTATATAGTTAGGCAGATGCAAGAATTTTATCTTCTGATTACTGTGAATTTGCTTTCATATACCTTTGTAATTCAGCTTATGAACCAGGAAATAATACAGAGTTTTAAATACCACTATAAATCTGAATTTTTAATGCTGATTTATTCCTTAAACACGCTTACTATAAAAATATTTCACAATTAAGAATTGCATTTATTTGCTGGATAAATTCTGGTACCCAGTCCACCCTGAAAACAGGTAGTACAATTTAGTTTAAATATCCCGCGGAATAACAATCAAAAACAAAGTCCAACATTAAGAATCAGCGTAAATTAAAAAATTTTTGCAGTACTAGTTTCAATGGTTTTTGAACTATCTTCTTCAGCTGCTAAGTGCAAATAAACACAAATAAAGGGTGAAGAAAGAATTACTTCTCTTATTTATCAAAAATTAAATTTTGTTAAAATTTGACATCACCCAACCATGAATATTTTTGTCATTTAAAACATGTATGCAATTGGAAGTATATGACTGAAACAAATGATTGGGGGGGGGGAGGATTCACACATATAAATTGAAGGAGTGTGTCTGTCTGTGTTTGATTATGCCAGTTGCAATAAAAAAAGGGAGGTACATAACTAGATGTTATAGCAGTCCCACTTAAAAAATTTCAATGTTCTACGGCTAATCATTTTTGATTTCTGAAAGATACATACATACGTATGTACAGGCATCACAAAAATATCCCTTTTGAATCCAGTTGAAATCCATTTTACACTCCGTTTTAGAAAAGATTTCTTTATTCTGACATAACACACACACACACACACTACAAATTTACAAAAATAAAAACATACTGCATTAATTTATCGAGGAGAAATATATTTTAAATGAAAGAAAAACAATTTTAAAATATAATAAAAATACTATTTTATTACTAGTATTATTATTAAATTTTTTATCAATATATTTTTTTTCTAAATTTTGTTTATTTATTCATTAATATGCAACCAAAATTAAACTGACAACATACGGTGATATTTTCATATTTTTAATTTATTTGCTCCAAAGCATCAAAGTGAAATATTTTATGCAAAAATCTACATTAATTCTAGAAACTTAAATTCCAACACAGAGATACAAACAAATGCACAGCTCTTAATATAAATTTAATAATATTCAAAGTACCTTTTCTGATATATATACAAACAGATAAAATTGATAGTACATGTCAAAATCACAAAATTTATTTTCTATCGCTATTATCAATTCAACCGCGAGAAAACGTTTTTTACATGCTGTCAACAATCTGCTTTTAATAATAATACTACATGCTGAATCTACTTTTAATAATTCTACTGCCATGCCAGACAAAATGCACATAAAAAAATACCAACACTTTTTTATAATTTATGCCATCATCCATTAATGAACAACAGTAAAAGCCTAAACCACTAATGAACAAGTTTTCATATTTTTTATCATAAGAAGAAATATGATGAAGCTATACAACTGTGATATAATTTTTTTATCAGCAGCACATTGTCATCTGCTTGGAATCTACAAAAACATGCAAAGCAACTTATCTTTAGACACAGGGTAAACTTGAAACTAGCATAATGTTAGTAACAAGACTCTAACGAGCTTGAAATATAATACATTTCTTCCTGTTAATTTTAAAGTCATATTCTGTAAAAAATAACAGTACTCATTTCTAAAAACTCAGCTTTAATATACACCTAAGTTTCATTTATTTATTTTTTGGAGTTTAATTTTTGCACCAAAATCAACTTGACAGTAAAGGTCACAAAGATATGACATTATATGATTTTTTTACAAAATTATTACAATAAGACATAAACTGAAAGAGCATCATTATTAGAAAAGGGAGCAATTTTGCATCTTTTCAATCTATTTAATAATTCCAACATGTACACTTTTTTTCCTGGACATAAAAACTACTTCTGTTGTATTTTCTTCTCTACCTTTTCTTATAATGTTTTGAATTTTCAAACCATCAATGTCTAAATTTACATATACTTTTATTTGATGTCTATAACTCAGTTTCAGGGGTTGAAATTTCACATTTTTGAAATACCTCATGATTATGCCTTCGGTAAAAAATTGCTTTTACACATTCACTTTCTTCATGTACCATTATCCTAGCTGGGCACATAATATTTGGATGTATTTTATTCACATTGTCTTCTGTTAGAAAGACACTCTTGCTTTCACTTCTTGGATAAAAATGGCACACATAATAACTGTATGTTTTGTTGTTTTTAGTTCTACTTCCACAACATTTCTTAAATGAAGTGCAAGTTTTTACTTCTTCTGTATTTAACCAAAGCTCAAACTCTGCCATTGATTTAAATTTATGTTCTTCTGATAATAAATTCATTTGGAAACCATGTGAGTCTGAGAGATGTCTATTAATATGACTTATATGACGGAATTTAGCTGCACAATCAGGTAAAGGGCATGGATGATAAGTCTTTCTATTCAATTCTTTTCCACAAATTCTATTATGCTTAAATACACCTGAATAGGTAGTGCAACTTTTATTGCAGGTTTTACATATATATATAGAAGAGTTATTTTCGTTACTATTATCATCAGATGGAGGTTTACAGTGCTTTTTATGAATTGAAAATGATGACCTGGTAGAATAAAATCTAAAACAAATTTGACAAGCTCTAGGATATTTAATTCTAGGATTATCGTCAGATGGAGGTTTACAGCGCTTTTTATGATTTGAAAATGATGACTTGGTAGAATAAGATCTAAAACAAATTTGACAAGCTCTAGGATATTTAGCTCTAGGATTATCATCAGATGGAGGTTTACAGCGCTTTTTATGATTTGAAAATGATGACTTGGTAGAATAAGATCTAAAACAAATTTGACAAGCTCTAGGATATTTAATTGCACAGCGCATAAATATTGAACTTTTAAAAGTACTTTCACCACCAATAAGATCCGCCCCCACTGGGCACACAACATGAATGTCCATTATTTGACTGTAATTCATAATCTTCTGCTTTCAGTCTTTAAAACTGTTCCAAGTATGTAAATTCAGCTGTGCTGAAACACAAATCAAATTTATCAATCAATGTTTCAGTGAAAAAAATCAAGACATATTTCAGGGGTATAAGTGCATGCAATAAATTTGATATAGAGAAAAATCAACTTTAATATACACCTAAGTTTTATTTACTTATTTTTGGAGTTTAACCTTTGCACCAAAATCAACTTGTCAGTAAAGGTCACAAATATATGACATTATTTTTTTTTTTTTTTTTTACAAAATTATTACAATAAAACATTAACAGTGATAGGCTGTAGTTTTTAATCAAGAGAGACAGACATGAGAAAAATTAGAATCTGCTCTAAGATAACTGCACACAGACTGTGGTGAAGGTCATCTTAAAGAGGTGAATATTAATATTATTATGTTGAGTTTATTTATGTTATAGAAATACTGGTCATTTTCATAAGTTATTATCTTAAAAAGGTGGTTGTTACAATAGCATTTAATGTATTTTGAATATAAAGAGTTAATGAGTACAATAATGGTTTAATATGTTCTGACACATTTATAAAAACTGGATAAATAGAAGAAATAAAAGTAATTGCAGCATAACAAATAAGTAATTTTTTAACCTAACAGATGATAGAAAGATGAATAAATGGTTAAAAAGCATTTTATTTAGGGGGAAAAAAGCAAAAGGCCTGCAAAACAGATCATTTTTTAGTTTGCATATCATTATACAGTATTCTCCTTCACATGATGGACATAATGCTTCATGGTTGCACATATGAGATTATTTGGAGTAGACCTAGCTTTTGTCGTTATTTTTGTGTCTTTTGATATATAATTCCTCAGGAGCATGATACACAAGTGATTGATACCATATTATTGCAACACTGACACCTGATAAGCACATTGTCAAAAATGACTTCAAAGATTATTTACACATTGCTCTGTAACAAACCCAGGTGTGAGAACTAGCTTTTTTTCACACTGCTTTATCTTCCATAGCTTAAACTTCAAATTACTGCATCAGTATATACTCATGTCCAAAATTATCTTTACTTGAATGAAATCATGGACTTCTCAGAAACTGTGAACTACAATTTTATGAATTTATGTAGAATGATACATAATGTTATAACACATAGATGAAAAAAAAAAAAAAAAAAAAAAATAAGAGCATTGCATATGATATAAAACTGTAGCATGAAACAATAAAATGGAAAGAAAAAGGAATAACCCATGGGAAGGGAATAAGATTTATGAATTTAATACTGAATGTGATCTCCCCTGACTTGTACACACATATCACAATATGTTTTCATGCTGGAAATAATGTTGTTAACCACAGTTTGAGGAATTAAGATTCACTCCACCAGCGATGCGATCTTCAGGACATTATTTATATCTTTAGGAGAATGTCTTCTTGCAACTCCTTTTCCAAGGTAGCCCCATAAATTCTGTCAGATTTAAGATCAGGATATTTTGCTAACCACGGTATTCACTTAATGTATTAAATTTCAAGAATCTCATCAACAAGGTTTTGCTCTATGTGGATAAGCATTATAGTCCATAAATAAAATGCTAGATTTATTGCGCACCCCCGAAAAGTCTTACATAATGTTCTAAGACCAAATTTCGATATCTCTGGGTAGTCAAAGATCTGCATTCAGTGGATTTGTGATTATTCAGTGTGTAAGGGCTATGCCAACAATCCTTATTTCCCCCTATATCATCACATCTGCTTTATCAAAATGGTCACATTTCATAATGCTCAAAGAAAGATTTCATTGTTTCTGAATCTCTCCAGATACATTCAGTATATGATGTTAAGCTTAACCTCGACTTATCACTAAAGTGATTCCAGTTCTAATGCTCTTTACACTAATTAAAAGAGATCCTTTTTTTTGTTAACCCGCAGGAAAGCGCGTGGGGTGTGTCATACCCCACCCCTACATAAAAGTGGAATATTCCTAATTTATGAAACTCAAATTCTGTGCTGCATTCAGTAGCTGAGTTTCTAGTTGTGTTTGACTTTCAGAACTGCTTTTTCTTCACCTGTGTGTTTCAGAAAAAGATTTATCGGTATTTTGTTGGAATTGGTGTATGACACACCCCACGCGCCTGTCCCCGTAAGTGATTTTCTGACCGAATATTTAGTTCAGAAATTTATTTCTGGAGTGTAACAGTAACTATTTCTACTCGCAAGTGATTTTAAAGCACTTGATATTAAATTCTTGAAAATTTCTAACTGCATTATCGTAAAAAGAATGACTCCCTATGAATTCAAGATGCAATGCCTATGAAATTTATTAGAAATATTTGAAAGCGATGAAGATTGCATTTCGGAAACTGAAGATGAAACTAGGAATATTTTCTACGCTGTTTTGGTTTCCAAAAAGATAAAACATTAATTCCTGATGTTCCTAAAAAAGGAAAAACTGTTCTTACGCTTTCAACATTATATAATGGTCATACTATAGATGAAACTATTATAGAAAATAAAACGTCAGGGATTATATGTTTTTATAATATGACTAAAGAAGCAGTGAATATGGGGTCAGCCAAATTATTCAATTGCCAGAATAAAAAGGAGTTGACCAATGGTAATTTTCTTTCCTGCACTGAATGTTGCTGTAATAAATGCTTGAATTATATTACATTCAACTGCTAATCCACCAACCAGAAACAGAAGTCTGTTTTTGAAGGACTTAGCATTACAGTTAATTAAAAAAAGTATTGAACAAAGAGATTAATATTTTACCAAGAAACTGACGTACTGCATGCAAAACAAAAGTAGAAGTTCCGACGAAGAATTAAAACGAATACATGAAAATTCGAAACAGCTAAGTATTGAAAGATGCGATGCATTTTTTGCCCTCACGCCAAGGACAGAAGAACGTGAATGAAATGTTTAAAATGTGAAAACATTGTGTGTCAAGAACACAAGAATGTATTTCGTTCAAAGTGTGAAGAAATAAAATGAGCATTGTGTATTGTACATGCAATGAAACTTAGGACGGCATGATGTTTATTTTTCATTATTTTCATTTATCTTATCTTAATTTTAACTCTAAGATTATTTTGGAAATTAATTTTTTTGAAACCCAATTATTATTCACATATTATAAAATACACGAGAACAAGAAAAACAGCTTTAAAACTAAATAAAACTATTTTTATCGTACTTTAAATATTGGGGTATGTGATACCCCACGCGCCCACTCTAGTAACTTTTCTTGGTGCGACTTCCACCGGGTTAATTATGAATACATCGAAACACATACCCTTGGCTTTCTGGCATAAAGGCCTTTTCATTAAGTATTCTGTATACAGTTTGCCATAAAACAATAGTTGCAGTAAGCTTTGAATTTAACTGCCAAGCAGCAGACTTCCTGTTATGACAGGCAGGTATTGCTGATATCGGTTTTGACACAAAAAATAGCAGGAACTATGAGTTACAACAGCTGTTAAAGCACTATTACAAAAAACGATTTCTTCTATAACTGCAAAATATTAGTATCGTAAAAATCGTATTTCTTCCAAGGTAATTATGAATAGTAAATTTAACAGACATTAAATGGCACAATTTGCCCCCCAACCAATAGGAGGTTTAATATTACACATGTTTTATTATAGGACAACAGATGTGAAATAATTTTCTACATATATATGCTGGTTGATACACTTGGCCAGAAAATATTTAATTGATTTTTATGTGAGCTTGGGGCTTAATTTCTAAAATTAGAAGTACCGGAGCCCTATCTACCTTCAGGAAAGAGGAACAAGAATAAATAAATAAATAAAATGACTAATAAAATCATTAATATTAAAAAAAATAAATTCTTTATTAAAATAATTAATAGTTTATTAAAATAATTAATAGTTAATTAAAATTAAAATTTTATAAAAACGGCAAAGAGATTACATTAAAATTTATGAAGAAATTTTCAATATAATTTTTACCAAAAATAAAATTTTCAAGACCAAATTTCTACTGAAATTGTTGTTGTTACATAAAAGAAGTGCCACCTTATTTAGGACTCCGATGCACTCCAGTTAGAATTATGAATTATCCCCCAAAACTAAGAAGTACTGGAGCAAAGCTCGGGTGCAATTTAAGCTCTGAGTGAACTAATTAACAGAAAAGAAAATAAAGAGGGGAACAAAATTACCAGATATTACTGACTTGTTGTCTCTTAGCCCCTTGTAAATTAAATGTGTCGTTCTTATCTTTCAACCAGTTTTAAATTAATTTCATTGCTGCTTGTCAAACCCCATCAACGACAAACTGACTAACATTAAATATTTTTGTGCCCGGTGATTCAAAAGCAATGTACTGTGAATTTTAACGGGAAGCTTCTAGCCTCTCTCTCTGTTAAGTAAAATTATTCTCCAAGGGGCACTTTCATTGCAAGACTTTTCTTTTTTTATTAACTCAAAGTAAGTTTTACAGTACATATAGAGAACAACTGGACAAGAATTTTTAAACATTCATTTTTATTGTCATGTCACCTTTAGTTACATTAAATTACAAACAATTGCATAATTTTTAAAATATGTCTTCTTCAATCATCTACAATAAAAAAAGCACAGATCACTTTTTAATTTTTTCTTTTTCTTTTTTTTAACATCACATAAGAAAATGAAAACAGAAAAATCGATTCATCCCAGCAATGTAAAAATAATACAACTAAAAATGTGGGGAAAATAGCAGTTTGTCCTCAAATAGTGAAAGCAATATCATAAGATTCAGAATTTTTCATTTTTTTTTTTTTTTTTCATTTTATTTTTTTAATCAAAGGTACATTTTCAAGAAATTCACAACATGTTTATTCATAATAAATATACATAAATATTTCAGAAAAAGTCTACTTATATGGAAAAAAAATAATTTTCACACTTGTAACAAACATTTAAAATTATTTCAATTTTAAACACAATCAACTACTCAAAAGTAAAATAAAGATTTAGAATATTAAAATAGCAGAATGAATTGAATGAAAAGAAATTGAATGAGTTATAGTGATTCTGATTATGAATCAATTTA